ATTCCTGCCCTTAGCGGTGCTATCACAGTTAGATATGTAATAAGCCTTCATTCATTTCCAATACATAACAGACAATCCTACTTATCATCACCTTTGTAAGGTCAGCTCAGATCTAGCTCACTTTTCTTAATAGGGACGATTAAGGCCATTTAGGGTTTTTTTTTTTTTTTTACCTCAATCATGCCAAAAAAACAAAGGTGAAATTCCTGAAAAGTTCCTCTATTGATGTTAAAACCTACTGAGGTGACTTGAGTGTAAAGCTCTTGGCAAGATGAGTCACCTCCGACTCCAGAAACTGACTTCTTTGGAAGTATCAGAGTCACAGAGTCATTCAGTGTGTGTCTGTGCACAGGTGTTTCTTAATGTTTGTTACATTTCACTGTGTGTTATACTTGTATAACTATGCATGTGACAAATAAAGAACCTTGAATCTTGAACCTTGTTTGTAATCTAAGGGCCAGACATTGCCCTTCAAGCATTTGACACAAAACTGGGTCAAACACACCAAAAGATATATGCAAATTTTCTATTAATTTATTTTATTATGTCAGAGATCGAGGCTCATCATTATCAGAACCTAGTGGCATACTTTGAGCCTTTTCAACAATTCATTTGTTACCAAGGTTTTTCTGCATTTAACAAGTGTCAAGGCAGGGACACCATTCCTTCGAACATGCTCTCTCCTCTTATCAAGAGTGAAAGGCACCTTACCCCACAGAAATCAAGTGCCTCTTCTCACAACTTGACATCCTCAACAGTGCCCTCTTTTTAATATTTTAATAATAGGATCAAGAGTGCAAACAAAATTCAAAGCAAATAAAGTGCTAAAATATTCACAATGACACTGTGCTGTGTGGTGGGAGAGTACAGACAAGCTGGGTGTGGAGGATGGAGTGCTGAGATAAAGCTCAGCGCAAATATGTCCATCTCTGTAATACAGAGCAGCCAGGGGCTAATGAACATTAGCCACCAGTTCATTCCTGACATTAAAGAGCCTACTGTTTTAGGAAAATAAGGCTGGGCTGACCGCAGACACAGAGTTTTAACACGAGAGAATATATAATACTGACCTGACATTTCAAATCAAGTTAAATTTCATGCTGGAAGGAGTGAAGCACCCTGTCAGATGTTGTTGGCGAAACATAATGGAGGTCTGAAGAATAGTTTGCTGTTAAATGGGCGACTTCCTATCTTTCACATCCTTGACAGCGGAGATTATTTTAGACCAAAGTCCAATAATGTAAGTCTGAATGCAACATCTGACCTTCAAGGATGCAAAGCTTAAATGTTTCTGAATGTACCACTGATGAAAAGAGCCTCCGACCACTGGCTTATAGGTGACACAGCTGCAGTTCCTCTTAAAGCAGAAATACTATTATGTTCTCAAAAGGAGGAGGTCTTTGGGTTAAGGCTTGAAGGTCCATAGCACTCCTAGCCTTTTTCTAGCTTTCCTATTAAAGATCAACCAAAAGAAATGATTAGCTGAGGGTAAAGGTACACATGAGCACTTGTACATAGTGGCAAAGCCTTTGCCCTCTACTGAGGAAAACAGTCACGCGAGTGTATGTGTATTCACATATGAGTGTGCTTTCGGTCAATAGGAGGGCCAGCGACCTTTCTTTGCACCACTTGCCTCTCATCCTCCAGCAGTATCTTTGGCCCGTCTAGCTCCACCTGTAGCTCAGAAATCTCGTCTTTGTTCTGCCTCTTTTGCCTCCTTCTGCACAACAACACAGACAGGAGAGAGGGAGCAGAGGTGAGGCGTGCGGGGAATTGAAGCTGTCTGTTTTTAAAGGTGTCAGCACACCTAACTTTTGCATAATACATATCACACCTCAGAGATGATCCATTAGCAGGTTACAGCAAAAGAGCCGAGCAATAAACTGATGAGATATGGCTCCAACAGACACACAAACGCATCACACACAAATACACACACACAATATCCTCCACTTTTAGAGCCAGATGAGAGGGTGGGATTGTCCCTGCGGTGTAGCCTCGTGTGTGGCTGCATTTAAAACCACTTTTACTTCTGGGTTCTGACCCTACACTGCCTCCAGAGGAAGTGCAAAAGACAAAGTGTGCGATAGAAGGAAAAGAGAGAGAAATAGAGCAAAAGATGAAGACAGAGAGAAAGCCAGACTGAAAAAGGGAAAAAGCAAGCCACCACACCCCTCTGTACTTCCAGACACTGATTTATAATTTTAATATCTCTAATTTCCACAGCAGTGCCCATTTTCCAAATGTCATTTTCCAATTTATGTCAAACCGTGTGACCATTTTTCTTAATACAGCTTATGACAAGCTCGGTGGCAAGGCGGATATGCAATTCAGATTGAGTGTTTTACAGGCACAGCAGCAGACACACTAGGGTGTTTGTGTGTTTATCTTTATCAGTGTCTGCTCAGTATTTTGAAGGGGAAGCACTGAGAGCGTTATACACTCGGGAAAAATTGGGTTTGCTACAAAATATGTGCCTTCGGGGAAGAAAACCATAATTCTGCCATAAATCTAATTATTACAGTTATCATAATAAGAATTATGATGGTGGCAATGATAATGTATTAAAATATGCATTAACGTTAAGAGCTTGAAATGGAATGTGGGCTGGCTTTATGGCCGTTACATGAATATTGATGTTAATTAAAACAGAACCTCTCTTTTTATGTAACACTCCATCTTGTTGTAATGGTAAGAGTTGTACATGGTGGCGAGCCGGATGGAGATGAAGTCATTACTGGCTGGTTTGCCCCACAGAGGTAGTCTGGAGCTCCTCTTTGATGTGCTAGGGTCTTTCCAGGCAACCTCTAATCTCTGTGTGTTAATCTGGATTTTCCCATCATACGTTGAAGACTGCAACTGAACATTAACGGTTGGGGGAAAAAACCCTCAAAAGCAAAACGTAAACTTTTCTCGAGGTTGGTCACAAAAATTGCTGCAAAATATTTAAGCAGCCACACGCATGATTTTCAATGTTTTGATATAACATTTAGCAGTTTTAATGATGGCTACGTCACTGATCTATGAGCCATTCAAGCATTTAACTGAAGAGATGAACCAGTGTTGTGTCTTCACACAAAACAACTCTATTGTTTTGTTGTAAGCAGTCTGTCAAAGAAAAAAACAAAACACAAACTGGTTCATGTTTCTTTAACTGCCACAAATGAAAGAATATGAGGTATAAAAAAGAACTCCCAAAGAACTATTACTTGAAAACTTGGCATGTCTTGGCTTTGAGTTCAGTCTGTTCTTAAGAAAAACTGAGGTGATTGGACAGGTGTCAGGCTTAAATCAATCCATCTATAGCAGATTAACAGTATCTGAAAGTCATGTTGTTAAGAAAGAGGAAAAAATCCAAATGCAAAAAGACCTGATACAGGACCAGAGGGTTTATCTGACCCTTCAGATGATCCATTTACTCTTCACTGATGCCTCATCAGAAATGGTCTCAGTGGAAGGGTTGCTATTTCCATTCTTAAGGAAGGAAGCAAGTAAAGGCTCAGGTCAAATTACACAAGAAATGTAGGTCTCATGGATTGATAAATCCCGATGTGAAGTTTTCGGTTTGTAATTGAGTATCTACAGACATCTATAAAACACCGCTCTGTCTGGGTTTGGGGTGCATTTCAGTCTGTAGTTTTAGAGATCTTGCGACTGTCAGATTTTGATTCACCATGTAGCACCATCTAAACACCATCCGATTTATAAAGGCTTCATTTGTAAGTATAACAATGATACCAAACCTGGATAAAAAAGTCATGGATTGGCCTCCCCACAGCCCAGACCTCAGTATTACTGAAGCAGTGTGGGATCATCTTCAAGGAGAACAAAAGGCAGCCAACATCCAAAGAAGAGCTTTGAATGTCCTTCAAGAAGCCAAGAAAGTTGGCTAAGAGAGGCTGTGCTCATCGTACCACACACTGACTTTCGGGCATTTTAAAATTGCATGTTTTAAGAAATTGAGCTATATATTTTCCTGGGTGGCT